CTGGATATATTGCCCTCTAAATTTCTGAAGTCCGTCCTGAGCAGTTTGTTACCTTCACTGACACAAATAGTAAACATGTCTCTGTCGTCAGGAACATTTCCTATGGCCCTAAAAACAGCAGTCATAAGACCTCTCCTAAAAAAGAGCAGTCTGGATCCTGCGGGACTTCAAAATTATCGCCCCATATCGAATCTGCCATTTATTGGAAAAATTCTTGAAAAAGTGGCCTCCCAACAACTTACTGAATTTTTAACAATGAATAATTCTTTTGATATGTTCCAGTCTGGGTTTAGACCCCACCACAGCACTGAGACCGCTCTAGTGAAGGTAACAAACGACATTCGACTTCACACTGATGCAGGTAAAGTCACAGTTTTGGTCATGTTAGATCTTAGTGCCGCGTTCGACACTGTCGACCATGAGATCCTCATGCAGAGACTGGAGGACTGGGCTGGTGTCACTGGCACAGCCCTAGACTGGTTTAGGTCTTACCTGGAGGATAGGAAGTACTCTGTGGAGATTGGAGACTGCGTCTCAGATGATGTGGCCCTGACCTGTGGTGTACCACAGGGGTCGATCCTGGGACCTCTCCTATTTAATCTCTACATGCTGCCGTTAGGTCAGTTAATACAAAGAAACAAAGTGTCCTACCACAATTACGCTGACGACACTCAGATCTATGTCTCACTGACTGCAGGAGAACATGGACCACTGGATTTGCTCCTTCACTGTATCCAACAGATCAGTGACTGGATGCAAAATAATTTCCTCCAGCTAAATACAGACAAAACCGAAATCATTGTCTTTGGTCCCCAGAAACAAAGAGAGGGCGTCATTTGTCAACTTCAGTCTCTCTCCCTACTTCCTTCAGACAAGGTCAGAAATTTGGGGGTAATACTGGACTCAGACCTAAATTTCAATAGCCACATAAAATCAATAACATCAACAGCTTTTTACCATCTGAAGAACATTGCCAAAGTTAGAAATATAGTGTCCAGGGCAGACTTGGAGATTCTTGTCCATGCATTTGTCTCCAGCAGGCTAGACTACTGCAATGGCCTGCTTACAGGTCTGTCCAAACAGACCTGTAAGCAGCTGCAGTACATCCAAAATGCAGCAGCTAGAGTCCTGACAGGAACCAGGAAGTATGACCATATTAGTCCGGTCCTCAGGTCTCTGCACTGGCTTCCTGTGGCTCAAAGAATAGATTTTAAAACGGCTCTGCTTGTGTACAAGTCTCTCCATGGCCTTGCACCAGAATACATTAGTGACATGTTGGTGTCATATGAACCGGCCCGGACTCTGAGGAGCACAGGGACTGGCCTCCTGCTGGTGCCCAGAGTGAGAACCAAACATGGGGAGGCTGCGTTTCAGATCCATGCAGCTAAGATCTGGAACAATCTCCCTGAAAATGTGAGGGAGGCGTCTACTCTGTCAATGTTCAAATCCAGGTTAAAGACTGTTCTGTTTGCCTGTGCATACAACTGAAGGATTTTATCTCCATTTTTAATGCACTGCTGTCATTTATTTATTTTTTTAAATTTCTTGTGTAATTTTGAAAGTTTTAATGGTTTTATTCTTTTGTGTGATTTTAATGTTTTAATTGTGTTTTAATCTTTTGTGTGATTTTAATGTTTTAATTGTGATTCTGGTGTTTGTTTTATGTGATGATTTGTGATGTGGACTGTGAAGCGCTTTGTGTTGCCATGTGTATGAAAGGCGCTCTACAAATAAACTTTGATTGATTGATTGATTGATTAATTTATTTTGTAAAAATTATAATAGTCACTGGTTCAATATTTTTCCCCCTTATCCCCAAGACCATAAATAACATTTCTATGAAGTCTAAAAAGTTGTTTATAGCATTTCATTGTGTTTTTTCAATACAATTTTGTGAAATTGATTTTCCGTTTCATTTTTTTCTTTGTCTTCATGATTCCATAATCATTATATAATTGATATGACAGCTCCAAAATATGAATATTCTAAAACCCCAGGTTGTACTGAAAAAAACAAAGTATACTGCTTGACTCTGCATCAAAAGATGACTGTTTTATGAGAAATTTTACACACAAAAAACCAGGCGAGGAAAGTTCCCCAAAATGACTCTTATGCAAAATCGACTTTTTTAAACCCAATTGCCTGGAGTCATGGTACCACTATGACATCCCACCCTGAGCAGTTTTCTCCCCTTTAAAACAAAAGTACCGCCCAAAAATGAGTTTATTTGGTGTAATGATGTTCTTTGCAATCCCATAGTGGTCGCAGGCGGTAATTTTAAAATTTGTAAACAACAAATTCCATTCTACACCTCCCTCTGGTGGTAGCTTAGGGATGCGGCAGGCCGATAGCATTGTTTTTGCCTTCCCCATATATATTTGCTGAAGATGATACTTCACAATCTAAAACATGAAATGACAAAATAAATAGTCTCATAATGATTTTTAATAGAAAAAAAAGTGTTTCTTTTTTCTTAAAACCCATCTCACTAACACAGATTTTTAAAGTGAGATAAGGTCAGTATTCTGTCAAAAGTCAGAGCAGCTGTGCCTTCGACTCGATTTGTCTTCTTGACGACAGTCCAAAATGGCAGCCATCGCAGTCTGTTTCTCCCAAACTCCACATCGTCTGTGTCCTTCCAGTCGGTTCGTCGAGGATCGTCTCCGTGGCGACGGCTTGTTATCCTCCATTACATCAGCGTCTGACCCAGAGCACTCAGGTTGTGTGTGCTGACACGGATCACGCAGCCTCGTCGGTGCTACAAGTGGGTTTGTCTCGCCGTAATGTTCTGTTTGAGTGTGAAATATTTTGGAACCGTTGACAAAATGGTTAGGGTTAAATTAGTGGAATGAAATTGTAGCTTTGTGCAGAATAAATGCAATAGGAAACAGATCATGGCAAAAAATATTGATTCCTGAAAAACTGATTCAACTTCCTTTTTTGTGGTTGGTGCAGCTCAGCTTATTCTAAACATTGATTTTTTTTAATACACTTTTGGACTAATTGACACTTTTACCATTACGCCAAGATCCTGTTTAGTCAGTTAAATCACCATCTCTGAATCCCAGGTGAAAACAATCTTTGCTTGCATATATTGGGACAAAAAAGGACATTTGTGGACATTTGATGTTACATTTGATGACATGTTACAGTGGCAGTGGCTCAGTTGGTAGAGCGTTGGCCTTTGGGACTGACGGTTGTGGGTTCGGTAAGACCTGCTCCAACTGCTCCCACGTTGCCCGAAGTCCCTGCTGAAAGACCAAGACTGTATCACTGTGGACGGAACAGCTATCTTCCTGTGGACCCGCCACCTGCAGAGGATCAGTGAGGGGCTAGGGCTATGAGCCTTGGGTGGCAGCTCTCATTGCCACCCCCCGTCACAGAAATGCACTATTAAAGGGAGATCAAATGAATAAATGAATAATAACATGTATGGTGATTGGTCATCCGCCCCCTTTGGCCCAATGACTCCTATGTGTTTGTTAATATTGCATTAGTTAAAGTTAAAATAGTTTGATTACCTGATCTGCTGTTGAGGAATTAAAAACTTTGTAAAGTCCTCCGAGACTACTGCTGTTGTGATTTAGGACAATCCAAAAATAAAGTGAATTGAACATATTTAAATTATGTTATATACTGTAGATACAATGTACTTGAAAAGTGCTATTTTGAGAAATATTTAAGTAACAATATAAAACATTTTAGTAGAGAAAACTTAAAGTATTTATTCTATTGTTGTAGCCAAGTATGATGCATTAAGAATCTATTTTAGTCACATAATGTCTCTAAATCCACAGAAGGGAGAAAAAAGCTTACATCATTCATTTGCTAAACTGAATCACTGGAATGAACTGGATATATTGCTCTTTAACACCCTCCCTTGTTTTGACTTGGCTCTTGACCATATTCTAATTATGTGGTTTTTCCTTCGTATCCGCCGCTGCCATGGCTCAAACATTCATAATCTCCATTCTGTGCGTACTCTACTATAGCAAGTTGCAGCATCTCTTTATTTCCCAACATCAGCACTTCCATGTGGGGGGCCTCTCTGAGCACGTGCTGGTTGTTTGTCCACTTTAGCTCGCAGTTACAGTCTTCCATCTGAGCGTCTTGCAGCAACTAAAACAATTAGGACCCCCAACCGGCACAGCGGACGCCTCTGCAGGGGCACTGTCTAGTTGTTTATTATCCCACCAGCCTGCACCGTGGGTTCCGTCCTCCAATGTGCCACCACCAAATACCAACACTAGTATATTCACTGCAGGGAGAATTTAGAGGGTTCTGGGCCTTCTCTACCACCCACCAGCTTCTCTGTGTCTTCGGCGTATTCTCTCTGTTTCTGCCAACCCACAAGCAAGAAATCGGCACTGAAGGTGGCACGGTTCCAGCGGGTATAGCTTGAGAGCAGTGTTGGGGGAGTTAAGGGAATACAGACTTTTTCACATTACGTTTTAAGGTTAAAAATAAGAAATGAAAACAATGGGTGAAGTGAAGATTCTGTTAAATGGCAGCTGTTGAAGTACTTTGACAGCACATTATCGAATAATTACAGAACATGTTTTATTTATTTATACATTTATTGAGGTTTTAAGGGTTTGGACATGTATCTTTAAAAGTTTTGTAAATGAACATTAAAGGTATTTGAGGATTTTCCCAAATTTTAGGAAAGAACCACCCTCTCTCTGGTCTTATTTTACGAGCATATATCACCAAAATGATTGACAATTAGAAGGACCAATAGTCTTGATGATCGGAAGTAGAAAATTCTTCTGTATATCTTTAATTTACAATAAATATAAATAATATAGAAATTAAAATTAATCTAAAAGTATTCTAAGTATTCGGAATGCAGGTACTATTTTTTCCAAAATAACGGAATAATTCAGTATTCAGCAACGGAACACATTTTCAAAGTATTCTACCCAACACTGCCTGAGACTGGTGTGCTAGTTTGTCTGCAGCCTTGGATCAGTCTAAATGAAGTCTCAGCTTGTGTTAAAATGGTGGTTGCGTGGAGGTTAATGTCTGGGTGCAGCACGGGCGTTGGAGATGGAGATGATGAATTCTGGCGATGGACCTATGGCGGTGTGCAGATGCACCGATCGGGGCCTCCTGTTGTGTAGCTAATTGCAAGGAGCGCCATCCAGTGCGTTTACAATGCTGAGGAGGCAAAGCTGAAGATGCTGGACACTTAATGACTACAAAGCCCTCAAACCAGAGCAGGAACAATGACCGGTAAAACAGCAGCGTTCCACATTATGGGAAGACCAAGCTGTTCGGAAGTTTCAGGGCCAAAACTTACAATATGCTTCGATTACAAGTCTGGCCCCATTAGAGCTCAGAAACTAAACAGGATTTCCATAATGCATTTCTGACCATCCCAATTTGACTGATGGTGCTGATAACATTTTGGCTTATTTAAATGTCATCCTGGAAAACTGGTTCTGGTCTGGCTCAGTTGGGAGAGCATTGGTCTTCGGCAGGCCTGAACTGACCATCGGGCATACCGGGCAATCACTTAAGCGCAACTAAACTCGCTAAAACATGAACTGGTTTAGTAATTAGCCCCGTTATCATGAGTAATGCATAATATTTCTTCGTCAAGCTAAGTTAGCCTCAAAGCAGATCTAGTATGGCTGTTCTCTCGTACCGGTGCATTGAAAGGATTATTCTCAAATTAAATGATATGAATGTGTCTTATTTTCATATAACAAAAACACAATTATGAAAATGTCACATGCATATTTTACTCGAATTAAGAACAAAACAGTGTCTTTTGTCCCTGTGCATCAAAAGGAAAAGTCTGAGTGAAACGCATGGAGAGAAAGCACAGAAATCCCGCCTGACAACAGCCCACAGTATACACCAAAGCTATGATTGCCTTGTCAAGTCTGAGACCAGAGGCGGCGTCTTAAACAGGCCTCAGTCACTGCTTTCACTTGTAGCCAGCAGAGACAATGTCAAAACTGCAGAGGACGCGGTAAGCTGGATGTGGAATAGCGTGACTCCATTTTGAACAAATACCAATACCCAATTTCACACTACACTTGCTTCCCGTTCTCCTGGTAAAACTGACACCACAATCACACATATACTGTACCTTAGGAAGCCACATTTCTGTTCAGGCCTAGAGGAGAAACACCATTGAGGAATCCATGGCAGGTTAGTGGTGTTTTCTCCAAACTGGGGGCTGTGGTACTTTTTTTTATCTATATATATATAAATTGTATTATTTGAGACCAATATTTTAGAGCAAATTCTGGTATTTTGGACAGGGTGAGGAGGGCGTGTGTTTTCAATACGTGAATTTGACAATAACTTATGTAAGTAATCTTTATTTATGTACCGCCTTTTCACTGCACATCAGAGTCTCAAAGCAGTTTACAATTGTTATTTTTGGGAGTGGGGGTTCCAGTACAGGAGGCACATGTCGGACCTATTGTGCATATTTTTAGTGTTAGGGGAAACCGGAGCACCCGGAGGAAACCTACGCAGACACGGGGAGAACATGCAAACTCCACTCAGAAAGGCCTTGGTCCAACCAGGATTCGAACCCAGGACCTTCTTGCTGAGAGGTGAGAGTGCTATCCACTCAGCCACCGTGCCGCCTTATGAGCTTATGAGCAAGCAGTGATCACATTATGAAATTTAAAGCTGGGGTACAATTTAGAACTTTGTATATAATCAATGGAGCTAGTTCCTCCCTCTCAAAACATCACACTTTAGATCGAGGTGCAGAAGTAACAAAAATTCTCGAGATACTTGGTACTGTTGTGCAATTTCTGGACAGACCGAGAGCAAAAATAATGTAAACAACCAAGAGCTGTAAAAAAAAAGTGTTTATTCATTACTAAATGTGACATATACAATGAATAACAGAACCGATACCGATACCAATACCACCTGCAGCCGTCTGAAACCGTCTGCACCTGAGGAGGAAATTGCGGACATTAAATAGACCGGAGTAAACAAAGACACATCTAGATATCACACAAATGAAGTCAGTATTAATATGTGTCGCTCAAGGCTTCTCTTTGCGCTTCCTTACTCTGATACGACTCTGATACTTGTAATCTGCTTTGACCTGAACATATTGTTGTTTGACCCAGATGAGGTCAAAGACATGTTGCAGCAGGTCTCACATCCATCAGCTGACCTGCTGCCAACAGACCATATGTGCTGTATCTGAATCCAGAGTTGAGAATTAGTTCATAGCTTACACTTATAACTATTTAAGGAGGCTGCTTTTCAGATTCATGCTGCTAAAATCTGGAACAGTCTTCCTGAAGATGTGAGACAGGCCTCCTCTCTGACAATGTTTAAAACCAGGTTAAAGACAGTTCTGTTTAGCTGTGCATACAACTGAGGGATTTTATATTTGTATCTTTCTTTTTAATGTTCTGTGATTATTTATGATTTTAATGCTTTCTTATTTTGTTCAGCACTTTGAATTGCCTTGTGTATGAATTGTGCTATATAAACAAACTTGCCTTGCCTTGCCTTGCCTTGCCATTTAGTGTTAATTCAGATCGCTTTACTAAAAGATTTCTATAACAGTACCACAAGGGCCAATACTGGGACCCCCATTGTTCATAATACACATCAAAGAAATATGCAAAACATACACAAAATAATGGTTGAAATTGTTCTGATGAAACAAATATCACGTGGAGATGACCGGTAGGAACATTTGGCAACTGTGGAAATTAACGCATTAAAGTCAGCCTGATTAATTACCTAAAGTAAATTGTTAGTGGAAAGTTTGTGATGAGTATTATATGAGTACAGTGGTGCACATGTTCAGAGTCTACAGTGTTCATTTTACAGTCTGACTGCAGCAGGAGGGAAAGACCCACAGAAACTCTCCACAGAGCAAGCGAGGGTGGATCAGTCTCACCATTTTTGTTGACTTAAGATTAGCATATTTTCTATACACATTTTTCTGTCGTGGTCTGTTTTCTTCTCAAAATATTACTTAAACAAGACTCTTTCTGCTCGGACAAACAACATGTATTTATGAAACAAACAAAAAGCACCTGATCATTTATTTTATTTGCTCCAACTCTTGAAACTGCTTATTTCTGTGTGTAAATGTGTGATCGATACTCATACGTTTCACCAACGCGCACTTCGCTGGAAAGGGTTAAACAAATTTCCCATTCAAATAAGGCAAACAAAGAGACGAGTCCAGTCAAATGAGATGGAACACGGACATGAGGTTTTGGCTACTGTTCCACGGAATCAATTTAATATTCAACACCAGAAGAAGAGACTGTTAATAATTCACACGCAGATGCAAAAAGAGCAGACTTTAAAAGGTGCGTATTATGCCACACTAGATTAGACCTGGTTCAGACCTGGTGGATACCTGGTTCAGACCTAGTTTAGTCCTGGTTCAGTACTGGCTTGGTCTTCACACTTAAGATTTTTCTCTTCTCAGGTGAAAATGGATCGGACTTTGCTTCTCTCCATGCTACTGAGTGAGTTTGAGTAACTTTACATTATATTTTTCTAGTTCTTTACCATATATATAAAACATTTTTTAAAACAAGATTATTGTAAATGCAACGATCACCTAAAGAATTCCCAAACAATCAATTAGTTCTGATGTGATGTTGTGAGAATTTTTCAACATGTATTCCTTAAAAAAGAAACAAAAATGTATTAAGAAAAGCAATAATCAGCTGTACGAGGATAATTGACAGATCTGTGAATATAACATCCATTCCCACGTTTTCTAAACAAACTAAAATGCTATCCGAGACATGTTTTTTTTTTTCTGGTCTGTTTTCTCCCTGTAGGTCAGCTGTGTTGGTCAGTGTCTCTGGACCTTGAGTACCACTTTATAGATGAGAAGATGTCGTGGTCTCAGGCTCAGAGTCACTGCAGAGATCACTTCACAGACCTGGCCTCAGTGAACGACATGAAGGACCTGAAGAACCTGAAGGCTGCTGCAAACGGACGCACGGACGCCTGGATCGGACTGCAATTCAATATCAGCCTCATAGAAGAAGCGAAAAAAAAAACAAAAAAGAATTGGCACTGGTCTCAACCCACAGTCAGATATGAGGAAGGAATTGCTTTGTGGGACGGGATAGAACCTAATAATCCTGAAACAGAAAAATGTGTGTTGATTAACAATAAGGACAATAATAACTGGAGTGATCAGTCGTGTGAACACAAAGCCTCTTGTTTCATCTGCTACAACGGTGAGGACACAGATTTGGCTTTAAATACACATCATACAAAGTCAATTACTTTTAACTTCCAATATTGATGACTATTCTATTAACATTTAAAATACATCTTACCTGTGAAGTGAAAGACAGGGCACAGGATCATGGCTCAAGTTACATAAAAAAAAATCCATCAAGAAATTCCGTCTTGAATAAGTTCGTCCGGAGAATTATAACAACTTTACCCGGTCATAAATCATTGAACCTATTTCTATTCAGGAGTTTGCATGTTCTCCCTGTGTCTAAAACATATGCAATATACGTTCCTCTCCCATCACTGTGTGGAGTGATAGTAAAAATGTATATATGTACTTATATGTCTATACTGTATATAGATAAAGATTACTTAGATAACCAACGAGTGTCATGTACATGTCTTCTCTAAATAAGTCGCTTGTTCCACAGAGACCTCCAATACTACTGTCATGATGAAAGTAAAAGAAGACGACAAAAAAACCTGGTTAGAGGCTCAGCGGTACTGCAGAACCAACCACACCGACCTGATGAGTGGACTGGACCAGCAGAGACAGATTAAGGATAGTATTACTCATTGTTGGATCGGTCTGTTCCGGCACATCTGGAGCTGGTCCGACAGAAGCGACTCCTCTTTCAGAAACTGGAAATCAGTAGAATCATTAAATCAAAAGGACCTGAAATGTGCAACACTGGGAGAGAATGGCCAATGGGAGAGCGACAAGTGTGAGAAAGAGAAGACCTTCATCTGCCACGGAGGTAAGACAACAACAAACAACAAACAAAAACTTACATCCATTTATTATGATTATTATTTTTGTTTTCATTTTTATATTCAGTTGTACCCTGACAGTTGAATATGAATAATGTTTCTCGTTCCCGCCTACATTTTATAGAAGACGTGGAGACATTTATGAACTGATAAAAAAAAAGATAAAAACAAGGTCCAAATATATTCTACTCTAATATATAATATATTCTGAGATTTCAAACTGATTATATGTATGATGAAGTAAGAGCCCCGAGAGTCAATATTTGAGGCTTTGGGTTCTTTTTCACTTTTCTGTCTGATGAATCTGATCTAAAGATGAGACTGAGGCCCAACAAATACAAGCGGTTTTGAGAGATAAGAATTAGATGTACTTTATTGCAAGATTTTTTTCCCTTGTGCTTTGAAAGTTATGTAACCCAGCTTTAGGTAAAAAACCTGGTGTAAGGAAAAAAAGCATACGTGTTTTAGATGTAACAATAAAAGTAAATACAAATGTTATTGTATGGATAAAATCACCCACAAAGTCCACAGAATTGGACTCTAGATTTGAATACTTTTTATTGAGTATTCTTTTTTTTTTAATATTTGAATAAAAAAAACGGTGACTTTCCCTAAATGCCATGATGACATTAAACTGTGTGTGTGTTCACAGACGGGCCGTTTGTCCTGGTGAAAGAGAATAGAACCTTTGAGGAGGCTTTGATCCACTGCAGACACAACTACCACGACTTGGCCTGGTCCATCGACAAAGAACCATGGAAGAGCGAGGCCCTTAAGGAAATCCAAAAAGCCAAGAGTGAGTTTGTGTGGGTGGGGCTGCATTTCGCCTGCTTCTTCGAGGAATGGTTCTGGGTCGACGGCAAGTACGTCTCCGCCACCAACGACAACTGGAAGAATTCTGTGGAGGGAAAGTGTGGTGATGTTGCAGCAGTGAAGAAAAAAGACAACAAATGGTACAAGGAGAATTTGGGGAAAAAATACAACTTTATCTGTAAGCGTTCCTGTCCTTGTAATGGGTAAAAGTAACTCTTATTTACCAATAATCACTGTGCATCTTGGGATGTCCTGTTTGGCATAGATGTCCTGTTTTTGCATACTTTTGACATTTAAGTGGGATGATTTATCATTTCTAATAATTCTAGCTAATGTTTGTTGATGAAAATTGTTCAGTAAATGGTTTGATAGTTGTTTGTGTGTTTAAACTATGTAAGTACAAATAAACTTGTTTGAAAGCTGATTAGTTTGTCTTTTTGCACTTGCTTTATTGTTATCACTGTTTAACTTCATAGACCGATCTGAACGACTCAAAGTCTCAAAACTCAGAAAGGCATTGAGTTGGGTCGAAGTTGGGTCGGTTTATACTGATCCACACAGTAATGGTATTATACATATTCATGAGAACCAAGTGAGAGCAGGGAACCAGGTGTGAGAGGAGGACAGACAGACCACATTATCTATTTGTTTATTTAACAGGGACATTGCACAATAAATGTATTGTTCAGACCGCTCATAACTACAAGCTACTTTCCATCCGTAGTCCCAGGGCAGAGGCAACATGACAGAAGGTTTACACTGTGCAAAGAATTGATAAATAGAAACAAACAAGTTAAACAAACAGCTCCTCACAACACAGTAAACTTTACACACAATTATTTACATCTGATTAATGACTGTAGACTTGAGTGTCTTTGAGCCAGTTTTTTAGGCTGAGTTTAAACCCTATATTATAGTAAAGTGTATTTTTGAATTGTTTAAGGAACAAAGCACATGGTCCCATACCGAGTCTACGGCAGGGATGTCAAAGTCACATACATCAGAGGGCCAAGAACAACAAATTTGCTACAACCCGAGGGCCGGGCTGGTTCAATGTGTATTAAAACATATTCAAATGATTTTATATAATCTATTGAAGCAAGACCTAACACAGTGTATTGTATTTTGGTGAATAAATAAATAATCCAATATTTCTGTATGGCTCACAGACAAAAACAAACTTCCTTCAAAGAGAAAACACGAGTCCTGAACATTAAATGAATAATCCAATATTTCTTATGGTTCTGTGAGGGCCAGTGCTAATTCTGATCAAATATCATCCCGGTGGCCTTGACTTTGACACCTATGGTCCACAGGTAAGTAAGTAAGTTATATTTATTCACCTTTCACAGACCAGAGTCACAAACAAAGCGCTTTAAAATTGTTCTTTAGGTAGATTTGCAATGCCTGATCTCCACCGTTGTAAGTAAGTAATCTTTATTTATATACCGCCTTTTCACTGCAGATCATAGTCTCAAAGCGGTTTACAATTGTTATTTTTGGGTACTTGTCTCTCACTCCACACAGAGATGGGAGGGGCCAGTACAGGAGGCACATTCCAGAACTATTGTACATGTTTTTAGTGGTAGGGGACACCGGAATACCCGGAGGAAACCTACGCAGACACATGCAAACTCCACTCAGAAAGGCCCTGGTCCGACCGGGATTCGAACCCAGGACCTTCTTGCTGAGAGGCGAGAGTGCTATCCACTCAGCCACCGTGCCGCCCGAAATCACAAAGTCATAATGTGATTCAGTGAAACAGTATTTAACCGTTAAAATTAGCAACAGTGATGCCATGTTGAGAAAACGGTAAATCCCTGGAACCATATTTTCCAGCTTTTTACAGTTATTCCACAAGGAACTTCTGTACAGTGAAGTTAGTTACTCCGGTTTTAAATCTGGGAAACCTAACCTTTTGTTTGATAAATACATCTTTTGTCCCAACTGGAAAATAAAGTGAACCACTGACCAAGAGGTTGTGTATTTTTGTATAACACACACTTCTCTGGAAAGGGTAAAACAAATGTTGCATTCAAATGAGTTAATCTTGGTCTGATGTAAATGAGGCAAACAAAGAGGCCACACAACTCCAACCCAAATGAGATGATGATTTTGCAACTGTTCCTTGTAATAATTTTAATATTCAAAACTACTATGCAGAGGTAGAAAGAGCAGACTTTACAAGGTAAGCCATATGCTGCACTAGTTTAGTCCTGGTCCAGATCTGGTTTAGTTTATTTAGTTTAGTTTATTTTATTTATTTGAGCAATCTTAGTATGAACATGTTACATACATATATACAGAATAATGTTGTAACAAATAAGCACATACATCAGTGCTGAGTGCTTGAAAGTGCTCAAAAAGGAGTAGGAAGAAGTGGGGACTTATAAACTCCTACCCCTTTCTCCATTCAGTGTTTTGTGTGACAGTTGTTGATTTTTCTATATGTTGTGTGTAACATTACAATATATGACGAGTTCTATACATTTGAGTGTTTAAAGATACAACAAGGTTAGATTACTAATTATTAGTGATGGTCTCTGAGCTGTTACTTCTGTAGTTTACTATAAAATTGCAATTATTATCTTTATGATTGAAATGATCATCAGTGACTAAATCACATTTGGTAGAAGAGATCTCGATGTAGTTTGATCATTGAAATTAATTCAAATTGAGCTTTCAGTTTTACCCTTGATCAGCATATTGTTTGTAAATTAATTGCTTGTATAACCTCTTGAAAACATAGATATTTACACAGCTTTTTAAATCATCGTTTAGACTATTCCATAGATCAACTCCACATCTTGTAATACACATTTTTTTCAGTGTTGTCCTGGAAAAGTGTTTTTTTTTTTTATTTTGAGTATTCCTTAAATTATAGTTACCTTCTCTATTAGTGAACATACATTGTATGTTTTCTGGCAGTTGTTGACGCCTTGCTTTGTACAATAGTTGAAGTGTTTTGAAGTTAACCAAGTCAGTGAATTTTAGTATTTTGGATTTGAGAAAAAGCATATTAGTGTGTTCACAATAGCCTGCTCTATGAATTATTCTCACAGCTTTTTTCTGTAATTTGAATAGTGGATCTGTGTTAGTTTTGTATGAGTGTCCCCATACTTGGGCCCCATAACTCAAATAAGGCAGAATTAAAGATGCATACAATATGTTCAGAGAATGTTGGTCCAGGAAATGTCTTGCTTTACAGAGAATTGCAATACTTTTAGCTATTTTTTATTTTATATTTGTGATATGGGGTTTCCAACATAACTTATTATCAAGAGTCACTCCCAGAAATTTAAATGTGTTTACTCTTTCAATTTCAATAGTATCAATAAATATTTTTGTGTCAGATTTGACATATTTATTTCCAAAAATAATACATTTTGTTTTCTATATATTAAGTGACATTTTATTAATTTCAAACCATGTTTTCAGTCGTTCCATTTCTGTGGTAACCAGTGTTTTTAGTTGTTGTAGATCGTCTCCTGAGAATGTTTTTGTTGTGTCGTCTGCAAATAGCACAAATTTTAATTTTGTTGAAATTAAACATAAATAATTGATGTAAAGTAAGAACAATTTAGGTCCTAGTACAGAGCCTTGAGGAACTCCGCAGAGGATTGTCTTGTAAGTTGATTTATGGTCTCCTATTTGTAGATATTGTTTCCTATTAGTTAGATAGGATTTGATCCAATTTAATGCAATCCCTCTAAAACCATTTTTTTCCATTTTTTCTATTAGTATGTTGTGATCAATGGTATCAAATGCTTTTTTTAGATCGATGAATATCCCTATCACGTATTTTTCCTTGTCTATGTCATTGGTTATGTTTTCTATTAGATCAACAAGAGCGAGTTCAGTGGATCTATTTTTTCTAAAGCCAAATTGGTTGTTATGTAGTTTATTTTTCAATAAATGTGTCCATTCTACTTGCAAACAGTTTTTCCAAAATTTTAGAGAGCTGCGGTAAGATTGAGATAGGCCGGTAATTAGAAAAATCATGCTTATCTCCAGTTTTGTAGATGGGAATAACTTTAGCAGTTCTCATGCCGGATGGAAATGTCCCAGTGGTGAATGATAAATTAAAGATATGTGTTAAAGGTTTTGAGATTTCACCAATTACTTCTTTGATTATTGTAGTGTCTAGATCATCACAGTCTAAAGATGTTTTGGTTTTCATATTTTTTACAATATCTATTATTTTGTTTTCGTTTGTTGCAGTGAGAAAAAAAGAGTTTGTGTTGGTCGGGGTTTCTTCCTCAGATTTAAAATAATTTGGTTTGTTTTCTGCTGCCAATTCTGGCCCAATGTTTACAAAAAAAGAATTTAGTTCCTCAACAATTTCCTCAGAATTGTTTACCTCTTTACCTTTGTTGATGAAGTACTTTGGTAAACATATGTTTTTGGACTTTTTATTTATAATAGTATTAAGTGCATTCCACATTGTTTTCATGTTATTCTTGTTCTCGTCCAATAGACATTGGTAATAATGTTTCTTGCAATGTCTTATTATGTTTGTCAATTTATTCTTATATTTTTTTATATTTGCTTTCTGATTCAATTGTATTTTTTGATATAAAGTTTTTGTATACGATGTTTTTTTTTTTTGCAAGCTTGTAGTAACCCTGTGGTCATCCAAGGAGCTCTCTTTCTTTGTTTCTTTGTACAGACCACTAGGGGGCAGTGCTGATTATACAGTGTCTTAAAGATTTCAATAAATTGTTTATATGCTAAATCTACTTCTGACTGATTGAAAATACTGTACCAGCTATAATTTAGCAATCTTGTTCTGAATTTCTGTTTATTTTCCTCATTTTTGACTCGTACATATTGTATGTTCAATTCTTCTTGATCCTTTCTTTTAATATCAGTTTTAAACATTACAAAAATTGGCAAATGATCAGATAAGTCATTTATGATTATTCCACTAGTCATATCTTGGAGAACATTTGTGAATATGTTGTCAATTAGAGACTGTCTATTTTGAGTTATTCTGGTGGGTCTGGTAATTTTGGGATAGAATGAATTACTATATAATGTATAAATAAAGCTTTCTGTGGGTGAGTGAGAGTCTGTTTTGAGTAAGTCCAGATTGTAATCACCACAGATGAAGACCTCCTTTGATTCCATATGGGCAAACAATTTATCTATATGATCAATAAAAGGTTCTGTATTTGA